GCGATAGTGTGAGTCGAATAAAGATACATAAGCTATAGAAGCGACTTCTCTGTATTCATTTATTTGACTTAGCTTTACCAAAAGCTCCTGGCAACACAGTGCATCTATAATACAGTAATATGCTACTTCCCGCATTTTTCTTGCAGTTGATGGGGACGGGTTCTTTTTCGCCTCTGAATAGGTTTTCCACATTTTATTGTATGGCATGTCAACTTTAGCGTCAAGACCGCATTTTTGTAAGAAGAATTTAAGTGAGCCTTCCTTTTCGACTTCAGAACGGGGGTAACGCTTTTTGAGGCAAACTCTAACGTCAATTGGTACACATCCTGGCAGTTTAAGGAAGCTGGAAAAGAAATTATCTTCCGCAGAAATTTTGATCTTAATCGGACCGCCCAGAAATTCTTTGACTTCCGTATCCTCCTCTCCATTCTCAAGAATGTGAAGAGTATTTTCACTATCTCTGTCCTCACTATTCTTTTTCTTTTCTTTCTTCTTAAAAGTATTTTCGGATTTCGCTCCTATCTTTCCACGATATTTCCACTTTATAATTTCTTCCTTTGTTTCAAACTTTCCTGTCATCCGCTCCCATATCCATTCGAGAATGTTGAGATGATAGGCTCTTTCCATAATGAAACGCCAATCATAGTCTGAATCGTTAAACCCAACTTGGATGTCAGGGGCAAATGCTCGCCAGCAGAGAGCGAATGCCTTTAGCAGATTTTCTTGGTTTCCACATACGATTGTGGTCCAGCGTGGATCTGGTTCTGTCTCAATGTCGACAAGACATATTTGCTTTAGCGGTTTTGGATCATCTTTCCAATGCAGTGTCATGTAAATCATAAAGACATTTTGTTTCAGATTAAGGACTTCGGCAAATTCACCCAACTCTTGTGATTGCGTTTCTATATCCCATGTGAGGATAACAGTACGATCCCTTTTGAGTGCTGAAATAGGGAAACGATCAGTTATCGTAGTAAGGTCTTTAATGGGTTGAAAATATTTTTTAGATAAGTAAAATGTGTGGGGGCAGAGAGGGTCAATCCTTTTCTTGTACATGTAATTGCCCAGCATAGACCACCCAGAAAGTTGAATTCCATTCTCTCGAGCCACCTTACGGTGGAATGAGTATAAATCGTCTGAAGCAGTTTCGTAATTATTATCTTGAACAGCCATAATGGCTGTTTTTCTTTTACCGGTACCACTCATATAGATTCGTAAATATGTCTTTTTTTCTGTATGATAACCCCGAAAAGGGAAAGCTTTAATATGCTCAATTTTTTGAGTATCCACCTCCCCAGAGAGAATATCCCTTATTTTCATTTCACATTCATCTGGAGTCTCTCCGTCTGGAACAAGAACGTCAAAGAAAACCTGAATTCCCAAAAGGATTACTATCGCTTTTTGGCCATTAATGAGAGAACCGTAGAGCCGTAATACATAGCAATACTTTCCATTTATTTTTTGGCTGGATCCTTCATTATCAGTGGCCATGAATGGTATTTCTTGGCAATTGAATAGAGCGTCTTCAAGGATTGCGGTTAATCCCTCATCATTTTCCGCAACTATATTATCTCGAGTTGGGATGCCCGACAAGTATTTTTCACCGGAATAGCGGATTACCTGGCCTGGTCCCTCTGGGACCCCTTCTGTTTTATCTTTTTCAGCCTTTGGGTGAAAAAGGGCGGGCGCGTCGAGGAACTCTGAAAGCTCGGATTGGGTCATGGTATTATATAACAAATATACAGTTCGAGAGAAAGTATATACTCCGGGAGAAAAAAGTTCAAAATGAAAATTAATTCCGAAATATATAAATCGATACATAATCGAACTATTCATAGTTATCAAAAATGACATTTTATCGATGTCCATATATTCTCAGGACCGGAGAAGTTTGTAATCGGGGGTGCTTCCATCCAAAAGGGTGCCAAATACATCGGAATTCTCCCTCATATATACCTTGCATTGAATGTGGTAAACGAACTTATTCTGGATATGGGTTTTGCGATCTACATGCTAGAAAGCACCGTAAAAAGGAACAGTACCATCGGAAAAAGCAGGCTAAGATAGCTTCTGCGGAGATATTGGTAGGTAATTTAGAGGTAAACAAAAATAATACAGTTTGTCACTAGAAAAAAGATGTCACTGTCACTGATAAAATCTTGGTAACGCCCTTGGTGACGCTTTTGGTGACAAAATTTATAGCTATTTCAGATTTTTAGAGCTCTCGGACGGTTTCTAGATGGGTGTCACCATGTCACTAAGAGTCACTAAGAAAAGTCCGAGTTCCTTAACTTTTTTTCATTTTTTTTAGCATATATGTATCACGCATATGTCATATATGTATCATACTATATCGCATATAAGCCATAGGATAGCATAGAAAAATTTCGATTTTTTTACTAGAACTTTACTTTTTCTTAGTGACTCTTAGTGACATAGTGACAGATACAAAGGAAGATAATCGAGCGTCCCCAAACTTTGAAAAAGCATACAAGGGGTGTCACTAAGAGCGTCACTAAGAGCGTCACTAACAAATTTTCATAGTGACAACAAGAAAAAATCCGTCCTATTTTGCATCCTAATATGCCTGAAAACATACTGGAAATACAATATGAATGCGCTTCTCTGGGCTGGCCATGATAATACATAATGCACCTCCAACCACAGACACGAAATCGGCATACATATACTGGCGCAATAGTTATGGTGTACTTCTTAGCAAACAAATGGGCCGGCCAAGCTAATACAAATTGCACGCCCAATAGAATATCCAAAATTGATATTGAAGTTAGACAAATTTTATTATTATTTTTGGCACAATAGATTTTTGTTTAATTTTGATAACGTAATATTCCATAAATTCGGCCACAACTTTACTTTTACTAGGGACACTAGGGACACTAGGGACACTAGGGACGCTCAAAAAAATAGCATACACATTGCCTCGACCTAGATTAAACCATTATCGGACCTCTGAAGTGCCGGCCGAAATTAATCACAGATCTACTGCGCCATCTGACGTGATATTTTTTTTTACCATATTTTGGGATCTGGAAAGTCAACCAAATAGACGCAAATTCTTAATATAGAACTAGCATCCAAACCGGCTGGCCCAGTACTGGCAACCAAGAAGGATAGCATGGCACTACATACCCAGCCGGTAATCAAAAGGCTTTAAAATGGAAAACAAATCACCACCTACTTAGTAACCGATCAACCGTGAAGCCTCACCAGAATAAATTATACGAGAAAGCATTTATTAACACACAGCTCATAATAAAAAAAGGTATATTTAGATTATTTAGGCATAGTCGTATTTAGGTTATTTAATCACATGATCACAAATAATTAACGGAAAAAGGCTAAAGAAAAGCGAATTCAAAGGGAAGGAATATAGTAAGAAAAAATAACTAGGTACACAAAATTTACACAAACAGGTTATTTAGTTTGATTATTTAATCATATTTAGGTTGTTAACTTTAGATTATTTAGATATATTTAATTTATTTAGTTATATTTAGATTATTTAGTTATATTTAGATTATTTATAGTCATACTTAGATTATTTAGTTATAGTTAGATTATTTTATTACTAAATAACCTAGTCTAAGCCGTTTATGACTAAATAATATAATTATATTATTTAGTCATAAACGGCTAGAAAACCTTCTGATTCATGAGAAAATCATCACATGTGAATGAGAAAATTTTGATCTGGCTTTACTGATGCCACATAAAACAAAATGACAACAACAAGTTAGTAAGATACCTAGGAAAAAATGTCATTATATATTACAATATCATGTAATTCAAATATGAAGAGTTTCAATGAATAAATTTTTCATTTTGACATAAAATATTATGTACGAAACAGTGTAACATATAAAAATTCTCATTTTTTATTGGACAATGTCTGATCACGTGATATTAAAACTTGCGCCAGAAAATTGAAACATCATCACGTGATTGTCGAGTATAGTTTACTTGCACCATATAATAGAATTTTCAAAAATTCTCAATTATAAATTTTAGATTTCTGGTAACTTATTTTATAAATACTATATTTTGCAAGTTACAGTACCCTTTTATATATAGTATCCTACAAAAAAAACTCCTATTTTTTATTTAAAATAATTTAATAAATGGGCGAACCCACAGCAAAAGGTGGGGCTCAGACAGATCACGTGATTTTGAGATTTTTTGAAAATCAGATGCTTATTGGTCTTAACTTTATGGGGGTATTTTTTTCCATTAAGATATATTTAGTAAAATAATTTGCAATTCGATTTTTTTTCTACTGCATTATTTCGTAAATATCGTAAATATCGTAAAATTGCTTTTTAATAAAAATATGGAGTATGGTATTAGTTCTATTAAAGATGATGCAAATAAAACTATTTTAACTGCTTTAGAAGATCTAGATAATACATTTTTTACCGAATATTCATACTCTGAAGATGAAAAAGAGCCTAGTTTTATACCAAATGATGATGATGATGATATCGAATTAATAGATTTATCGTTAAAAGTAGCTAATATTCATTTAGATAATTTTGAATTTAAAGAAAATCCCGATAGTTATATTGAAGATGAGGTTTATAAACGCTTGAAATTAAAAGTTGATGAATTTTTTTTAAAAAAAAAGTGTTCATGCCGTTCTTCTGATCAACCTTGTTTTATGAAAATTGGCTATGAACGTTTTCTTGCACGTCGAATTGAATTTGAAAGCTTGGACAAAACAATGCGAGATATGGTTGTTAAAGGACAGCTTATGGCCTTTCAAAAGGATAAAAATACACGAAAAGTTAATAGTAATGATAGAAAATTTGTGCGCTTTAATTATTGTTATAATAATGATCTTTTAATTTGTCGTACAATGTATGAAAATCTTATTGGAGCTAGTCATAAATATTTAGATACAATTATACAACATTTACGAGAACATAGTATTGAAGAACGTGTACATGGAAATACTGGTAGAGCTCCTAAAAATATGAAACGTATAGAAGTTAATTATGATGTAGCAAACGACGTACAAGTATTTTTAAAAAACTATTCAAATGTACATGGTATACCTTCGCCCGGGTGACATTGCAGTGAAAATACTATACCGGTCGTATTTCTTCCAACAAGTTACAGCTATTCTTCAGTATACCGTGACTATGTAAATGCTTATAAGGATAAGTATGGAGCAGAAACTCGTGTTATGGTCAAACAAACTTTTATTAATATTTGGAAATCTTTAATGCAATCGCTCCAATTTATGTCTCCAAAATCGGATTTGTGTGAAAATTGTGAGTTAATGAAGATGGACATTCGGTATATTATACAACATGAGAAAAAATTGGAATCTACAGAAAATTACCTGGCCCATTTAAAACGTGCACAACAAGAGCTAGATTATTATAATTCAAATATTGCACTTGCAATTGAAGATGGCCGAAATAATTCTAATCCATCCGGATCTCAAATATTATTCAAAACTTTTGAGGGAAGTGCTCACATTGCATATGACTGGGCGCAAAATGTACAAATCCCCCACTCACCACAACAGGTAGGATCCTTGTTTTTCAAAAGTCCACGAAAAGTGCATTTATTTGGTGTTTGTAATACTGGCAACTATCCTAATACACAACAGATTAATTATTTTATTGATGAGGGTGAAATGGCTGATGACGGCAAACAAGTAAAGGGTGCAAATTGTACATTAAGTTTGGTTTTACATGCAATTCAAAAATATAATCGTGGAGAAAAAAAATTAATTGTTGCATGTGATAATTGTGTAGGGCAAAATAAAAATAACTTCACCTTATTTTTTTATTCATGGTTAATTGATCGTGGTATATATGATGAAATAGAATTAAATTTTATGATACCCGGACACACAAAATTTATTTGTGATGGTTGTTTTGGTCTAATTAAGATACTCTATCGAAAAAGTATAGTGAATACAGTGGATGATGTTGTTTCAATTATCAACCGTTCCACTACAAATAATTTCAATATTGCTCAGCGTTATTTAAATGGAAAAGGGTTTCAATATTACGATTTTAAGAGTCATTTTCAAATGTTTAAAAAATTACCTAACATTCAAAAATATCATCATTTTTATTTTTCTTCACAACACCCTGGAGTTGTCTTTTATAAAGATAAACTTGAAGATGTTTATGAAAAAACTACAATTCGTACTTTTTCTTATGCCATCAACATTTTACCACCTATAATTGCTTCTAGACCCCTTTCCTTAAAAAGACAAGAAGAATTATATAAAGAAATTGCGCCTTATGTTGATGTACCCTTTCGTGAAATTACTTGTCCTAAACCTGAACTTCAAAATGAGTGAAAATAAATTTTATTTTTTCGTATATAAGACAAAAACTTCATTATTACTCATTTTTTACATTATAAAACTTACATTTTTTATGATTTTTACGCTATAAAACTTATATTTTTTACATATAAACATAGTTTATAATTGTAACAATAAAAAATTTACAATTTCATTGATTTGAAAAGTAATGTTTCGAAATAAATAAATTTGTTATGTTTTTTCTTAAACTTGTATAAAGGTTATGCTCTCATATATTCAATAATACAAATAAAACAAGGTGTTAAATGGAAGCTAATATATTCAAAATATTGCCTGTAAAAATTTTTCTTTTATTATAAAAGTCAATATTAAGAACTTCGCAGTAAATCACATGAAAATTACGTAAAAACTTTAATTGCTATTTTCTTAAAATCACGTGAATGTCCGAGCCCCACCTTTTGCTGTGGGTTCGCCTAAATACATAAATATTACATATAATAAATACTCAATTATTATATAAATTTTATACATATTCAGTTATCCATTAATAATAAATAAAAATTCATGCAATAGTGAGAGGATATAAGGTTAAAACTTCTGAAATCTGTATCATATTTGAAGTACTATAATCCAGCCAAATAGGATCATGCTGTTTTTAATAACATACTGATATTTTTCAGATTAAGTAGACTAATTTAAACTTTATTGTATAAAACTATAAATATCATTATAATATTACTGATATTTTTTACACATTATGTCATATAGATTAAATATCACTTATATTGTTTTTATAATTTTTATAATAAATATTACTATAAATGAATATTATGCTAAATTGATTTTTCCATTAAGCTGAGAAATTATATCACAATCAAATAATTCTTTAAAGTGATTAACATTCATCGAAATTTCTAATTACGGATTTGTATTAGTTAATTATAACAGTTGTTTAATAGTATTTTGTTGATTTTTACGAGACTTTTCAAGTAAAACTAAAATAAATTGTAACAAAAAAAAAATTATAAAAATAATCCAATAAATCTACACAATATTTTGTTAATAATTAATATTCTTTATCTTCTTTTGCAGTTTTAAAATTATTATCTTCTTTGTCCATTATTCGTTTATTATTTTTATTCATACATGAAATTTGAGAATTTAATATTTCTGCTGATTTTTCATTAACTGATAATAAAATGCAAATATTTAATAAATCTTTAAAAATCAATGAATAGCAATGTCAATATACTTAAAGTCAACTGCCCATGAACTTTATTCATTAACTGTCCAACAATCTCATTTTTTTTATTATCAGTAGGTAAAATGTATGATGACAATCCAGCATCAGATCTATAGCGAGATATTAATTTACCGTATATAGCAGGCCACAGTACCCTGGGTATCTTGCAAAAATCGGGGGTTTGACCCTGTACCCCGGGTACTAAACAAAGCCTAAAAATTCCATTTTTTGCGAATATCTCACGATCTACCAGTCTAATTTGAATGATTTTTTTATTTTGAAGAGCTCAATGAGAGCTATCAAACAAAAAAAAGATGGCTCAAATCTGATCACTAGATCACGAGATAATTGTAAAATATCCCTCCGGGTACTATACAATTCTATGAAATTTTTCAAGGGGGGTACTATGCATAGGGGGATACTATGGCCCGCGATATACGGTAATATCTTCCTTTGGAATTCCCATTTTTTCACAATTTTGAATAAGTGCACGATATTCAGAGTGGTTAGTAATTTTCCTTCCATTAAGATTTACGCCAGTAATTTTACAAATTTTATTTAAAAAGAAATTTAATCTTTTAGATCCTATATGATTTAGCTTATACCAGACGTCAGTTCTTAATGCTAATGTATTAATAATATACATGCTGTCCAGATTATTTTGGAATGCCATAATTATAATTTGGAATGTCATAATTAATTCAATTTACAGTCAAACCTTGATATAGCGAACCCTTGATATAGTGAATTTTTCAGACAACTATAATAAATTTCCCCTTGTTATAACGAATTAACCAATCAAATCTCTTAAAATCTTCACTATAGACTTATAGCAAAGTTGAGGTCTGGACCCTAGAGTTCGTTATAACAAGAGTTGACTGTATATATAATTTACTATGTAAAGTTTCAAAATAATTTGGGATGCCATAATTGAATTTGGGATTTTACTTATAATTATGGCAGCCCAAAATAATTTGGATGGTATATATAATTAATAATAAAATAAATCAATTTTTAGTGTTAATTAAAATATTAATAATTTGAAATATTACCAAATTGCTTTTCAATTTCTTGAAGGTAAAAATCAGGTTCTGCACAACGAGAACGTAATGATAAATATTGATCAATAAATAGAGTAATATCTGGATGGCTTAATAAAGTTAATTTATCTGCCTTTCCTCGGTTTTCAGTAAAATCACGTTGATTATTCTTAGAACAATAAATAAACCATCATCTTCACTTTTAACAAAATCAGTTGCATTAAGTAATGTATGTTCTTCACCACGAAGTCCAAGATAAATTACATTTATAAAGAATACTCTTCTTAATAATCTTTCAGGCATGGAGCTATCTAACAATCTATGATTTAAAATTTGGGTTATTTCATCAGCTTCTAATGAGTCTGATCCTTTGATTTTACCTTTGCCATTATTAAAAAGATATCTAATTTTTCCATCTACAACTTTTCTTATTTCTTTAAAATGAACATTATTATATAAATCAATACTTTTAATTTTTGAATTATCTTGAAGGAAGCAGATAATAGCTGCAAAAGAAGCTCTAACAGAATTGACAGAATAGTCAGAACCATCTTTTTTACTCATATTAGCAAAATAAAAACACAATTGTTTAATTAAAACTTGTTCATTTTCTACTTCTTGAATTTGACCAATGTATAATTGTTCTTTTCAAAACTTCTCGAACAAACCCATCCAATTATTTGTCACGTTGACTGTATTTTTAACTTTTGAAAATTCACGATAAAATTCAACTTTTTCTTTCAGAGAAGCAGAAGTTTTCAAACTATCCTAAAACATAAAATATAAATATTGTTAGAAAATAAAAAAAAAGCAAAATAAAGCAAAATAAATTAAAGGTGTACAATACTTTATTTCTTTTACTTTTCAAATTTATTTGCTTCATTTGTAATATTTTATTTAATATAAATATGAAAGAAAAGAGACAAAGAATAAAATAGTTTAAAATAGTTTAAAAATAGCTTAAAATATTATTTTCACACTATGTATGATATAGTAATGATGTCATAAAAGCATGATCATCAGTGTCTACATAATAACATAGTTATTAGGTATGGTAGTTGAAATATCACTGAACTGCGCAAGTAGTTAAAATATTATCTGAACTGCTGTGCAGTTCGGTGATATTTCAACCCTCCTACCCAATAACTATTATTTATACTATTTATACAGTAAGCAAAAATAAGCTTTTTGAAATAGTAGACAGAATTTTATTATAAAAAATTATCTTTCTTAAATGGTATATTATTTCCATTTTTCTTTAAAAATATAAAATTGAAGATAAAATTAATAAATATAATTATGTTAATATAAAAAAATCTAAATAAATTAAATATGATACTTATATCATTAGTAATTAGTTATCTAGTTTTACCTTCTTTACTAGAAGAATTTGTTGATAAAATTGAACTTCAAATAATAACTCTTTAACAATATTTTTGAAATTTGCTTACAAATTAAAATTTCTTTTAAAAGTATTAACAAATATTCTGATTATGTTATTTACTTTGGCTTTATCAATTTCTTCTTCTTCAATATAATAAGAACTTTCTGAGTCTTCTTTATTTTCAATTGATTTTTTTGAACTTAAAGCCATTGATTTTTAAATAGTAAAAATTTTTTGCCTTTTAAATAGGAGGTTAGAATAGGACCCCAAAAAATACATAAAAAGGTCACATTTGAGTTTACTTAAAAAGAACCTAAATTTTCATGAAAATCTTGCCTTTTTTAGATAGTGCCGGCCTAAATTTTATTGTCCGTTTTGATATAGACCAGCATTATCATAATTCCGGCCCTGAAAAGTTGCTTATTTTAGGCAAAATCTTGCCAATCATTTTTGACCTCCATATGTATTTTTCAGGGTCCTATTAGAATCAAGTTTTCATTTCTTTTGACTTATTTTATCTTGAATTATTATAAAATAATTATAAAATTCAGTAAAATTATTTATTTAAAATATTCAAAAATAAAATTATTTTTAATATTTTTACATTTTAAAAGTTTTAATTTTTTATTAGATAATGTTATTTCAACTGCAAGAAGTTCTTTTTTAGATGACAATTTTGCTAGTTTAATAATAAATAAAATATCATTACCTTCAGTTTTGATTTTTAAAAAAATAATTATAAATTAATTGTTAAAGTATTAAATTACCTATTGCTGGTTTGTTATCTGAACTTATAAATTCATATGAAGGATTGCTAAATTGTCTTTTCTTGTTACAAGTCACTAATTATCATATCCTTAAATTATAATTATAAATGAATATTATTTACAACTAATAGTTTTTTTATAAAAAAATATAATTCATCATTTTATAATTATCAATAGATTATTAATCAATAATTCGTCTAGATTATTAGATTATTAATCAATAATTCATCTAGATAATTCTACTTGTGTCTCATTAAAATATTTCTACTTAATTACTTGATTAAATAATTCTAATTTCACCTGATATCCCATAAATAGACTCAATTTTAACTTCTAAATATATATATTTTTTTTAATTCAATTTTCTATCTAATATAAATACGATCAACTCCCTTTATAGTCACACCCTTTGGGACCAAAAAAAAAGGGTGTGATTATAAAAAAAGTCATATGTTATGACTATAAAGAAGATTTTTCCAATATATTTATTAGTACATTGGGCTAAAATATGGTGTGCTTATAAAGGAGAATTTTATATGATGTGATTATACAGAAGGTGACTATATAGGAGGTTAACTGTAGACTTAATTTCAAATTATCATTTTATAATTTCTTTAACTAAATGTAATTTATAAATTAAATTATATATTTACACTTTTTTGTTAAATTTTTCAACCATTTAAATTTAGATAACAAATAATGCATAGAGTGTGTACAAAAATAAATAAATTTACTATTGAAAGAATAAAAAATACCAAAAAAAATAGAATCACAATTTGCTCAAAGAGATTCTTAACTCACAAACATTTTTTAAAATAATTTACATATTAATATAGAATCTCAACATAATAGTAAAACTGATAAAACAGATATATTTCAGTAGAATAATAAAAAATAATATATTTTAAATATTAGAAACATTTCAGAATTTTTAAAAAATACTGACATTAATGCTAAATTATCTAATACTAATATTAAAGCTTTTTGAAGAGGAACAGCTCAAATATTCCAATTTGTTAGATAAATATAATTTATAAAAATATATTATTTCACAATTCTATACAGCTGTACTGCAATTTCTTATAACTCTAGTTTCTTATCATTAATAAATATGTACTTTATAATAGACATTTTATAAAGAATACAGGGTGAATTTTCAAGTCAAACATTAGTATAGAATTCCATTATATATCACAGACTATATTCTGAACTTTGTATTTATCTGTATTAATTAAAATTATATAATTACTATTTATTAAATTTCCAAGATTTGATCTAACACATCAGTTAATTATTCTGTATAATAATCAAATTTTTTTCATAATTTATTAAATTTCTATCCATCATATAATTTGCATTCAATAAGAAAAATCAATTGCTTTATTCTTAGATTAATATTTGCTCATGATAGTCCTATTTCTTAGAATATAGTAACTATTTTACAAAAGTCCAAAAATTGTAAATTCAATCAAACCTACAAATAGAGTAATAGTGTATAATATAAAAAAAAAATTAAGATTATACATAGATATTATTAATATAAAAATGAAAACAATCTTGTTGTCATTTAAGGTAAGTAGACTTTTAATATGAACAGTATTAATTATCTTTACTAAATCTAACTTTAATTATTATTAATAAAGAAAAGGCAGACGCATATCCAGAAGAATCTGCATAAGACTCTATTGATAATATATGTCAGATAATATAAGAATAGCAAAAAAAAGGTACAACCATGTACAATTAAAATCTACATAAAGACAGACATTATCATTTAATCATACATCTCTATTATGAAGCATTGGATTTTAATAAGAAGGGTAATTATGGCATAATAAACTGCCTCACTTTGATAGCTCACAAATTTGGCAATATTAGTTTTAATAAAATAGGAGAAATAGTTATATATAAGAATATTCAAAATTCTATTGCTACAAAACAAAATGGGATTTAATCAGCAAAATATGAAGCAGCTCTTGAATGTATAAATAAGACAACAAATACCAATACATATATCAATCTTGAAGAAAAAGAAAAAGTATTATTAATTTTAACAGTTAAAAAATATGCAAATCTTGTGTATAATTAATTCAAGAAACAAATAATTGTAAATATTGCAATTATTAAAAATAAATAATTCTAAGCTACAATACAATTAATATAATTTAATAATTAATTTTTTACACCCTTATGTAAAAAGATTCAATTGTAACATTATAGACTATAATTAAAATAAAACTAAGCTAATTATGTGATTCAATTATTTTTTTTGCTTTCTCAGCAAATGGTTCCCCCTTATGCATTTTGTAATATGCTTTCCATGCAAGTTCATCATAATTTATATGAGGGTCATATTTTGATGCAGGAGGTAAATATTCGTTAAGATCTTCATTTTCATCTATTTTTATTTTGATAAGGAAAGAATATATGTTAAATCAAGCTAAGAAATATTTGAAACTATTTATCAAATATATTTACTATTATATAAAGAAAATTTTCAAATTTTTACCAAAATCATTTAGCTGATTTTCATGTGTTTCATCCTTATCAACTTCCTGATCTTGAAAATAACGATAAACAAATATTCCTACAAGAATTAAAACAAATACTATTTCAAATTTAATTGATTTTGATGATTGTTGCATTTTGTTTAGATGTTTATTTTTTAATAAGATATGGTCAAAGCGTATTTATAGTAAAGTTCGTTATAGTTTCATATTAGTAAAATTCTAAAATATCATTAGATGACATAGTATTATTATTATTGGGCTGAACTTGCTTCAAAACCAGATGCATCAGCAGTCAATATCTCTAGTGATACATACATTCTGCATCAGAAAATTTTTTAGTGCAGATCTGCACAGATCTGTGACAGTTTTTAAAAAAAATTAAATAAAACTGTGCAAAATTTTAAGAAATAAATTTCTGCAAAGATTTTTAAAAAATAAATAATGGAATTTTGTGAAGATTTTTAAAAATAAATATTTGAAATAATTCAAATATATTTAATTTTACTGATTATCATGATTATTACAAATAATTTTATATGTAGTAATTTATTTAATAAAGAATTCCAAATATAAATTTTAAATTCTGAAAATTAATGTAATACAAAGAAATTTAATAAATGTTAAGTGAATTTTGAATCTAAATTTTTGAGCTGTAAATTTTTTGATTTAGATGGCCGATTAGTAAAATAAATTAATGTATAAAATTATTATATACCAGATAATAATTTTGACTTACTAATTCTTTATAACTACTATTATTATTATTTTAATTTTTCAATTATAAGTGAAATCTCTGAACTTTATTTTAAATTTTCTTCTGCCATTAATTCCTGCAATATATGTAAAATTATAGTAATTTTATTTTTAATCAATTGCTAATAATTAATTATATATTAAGAGAAAATTTATTCCTCACCCCAGAGTGAGTAATTTTATTACTCACCTCTATTACTAATTGGCTGTTCAGGATTTACAATTACATCACAACAATCAGTTATTTGTTTATACATTTGGTATTTTTTTTTTTTTAGTTTCATTTTGCATCAAAAGTATATAGATGCCAGATATTTCATTTTTTCATTTTTTTTTTTTTATATTTTTATTTTTTCCTTATTTCTAATTTCTTTATTAATTCTTTTAGGTTTTAGGATCTTTCAATTTCGTGGTCAAAGGTTTATATTAAAGGTATACAAATATCAGATATTTCATTTTTTCATTTTTTTTCTTTTATATTTTCATTTCTTTCTTGCCTCTAATTTCTTTATTATTTTCTTTTAGATTTTTTAGAATCTTTTAATTTCGTGGTCAAGGTATATTGTTTTTTCATTTCTTTAATTTTCTTTTTCTTTTTTTGCTTTCATTTTATTTTTACTAACTTTATTTCGTTTTTTCTTTATGGTTTACCAGTTTGCTTCCATTTATTTTTACCTCTTTTTTTCTTTTCCTTTGTTCCATTCTTCTTTTTATCTTCGTTTCTTTTTATTTTTGTTTTTCCTTTCATTTTTTCCTTTCATTTTATCTTTATCTCTTTTATTTATTTTTATAGATAAATCTGTCAAACACCTTAAATATTCAAAAAAAGCTACACTATCAGACGCTCAGGATTATCTATATCTGGTTTCTATCTTCTTTTTTAGCACGAAGGTACATAAGCATATAGCACGTTCAACGCACTCTTTTACAGTTGATGCAGAATCTTCTCCTACTCTTACTCGTCTTCTTTTTAGATCTTTAGCTCTTAGATTCTTTCAATTTTATGATCAAAGTATATTCTTTATTTTTCATTTATTACTTTTTACTTTTTTTTATTTTTTAAAGTTTATTCTAACTTTATTTCATTATTAATTCTTGATCTTAATCTTTTCTTTCATTTTTTATAAGTATTAGACTTTTTAGCTTTTTTTTTTACTTTGGTTTCTAATTTTTTTTTAGATTGTCGATTCTTTTTGAAATGAGATGAATGATTGGTTTTATTTTTTCTTTTTCTTTTATCTTTTCATCATTTTATTTTGTTCTCTTTATTTCATTTTATTCCCCTTTGTTTCATTTCTCTTCCTTTTCATTTTTTCCTTTTTAATTTCCCTTCTTTTTCATTTTTTGTGTTTCCTTTTATTTTCTTTTTGTTTTCTTTCATTTTTTTCTTTTTTGTATTCCTTCTGTTTCATATTCCCTTTTTCTTTCATTTTCTTTTATTTTCCTTTTCTTTAACCTTCTTCTCTTTTATTTACCATTTTATTTTTATTTTGATCACTTTTTCTTTTGTCTTTGTTTCTTTTCTTTTTTGTTTTTATTACTCTTCATTATCTTTTTTTTATCTTTTTGTCTCCTGATTTTTTTTATAAAATTGCTACAAATCACCGGCAGTAATCATCACCAGTGTCATGTGATTTTTAAAAATTTTGGCTGGAATTAAATGATCTACATAAAAATTTATTTTTTTAGAATCTTGTGTAACTCATTTCTCCATTTTTGAATAGAAGTGAAATTGCTTTTTTTGGATCGTGTAATATTACTCAACCTCAAAAAAAGGAAATTTATATGTCAATTCTTTAATTCCAGCCAAATTTTATAAATCACGTGACACCGGTAATGATCACTGCCGGTGATAAATAGCAAACTCCTTAATTTTGAATAATTGTTTATTTAAAAATAAAATTACAAATAAATTACATTATTTTATAAAGTATTTTTGTAAAAAAAAACTATTATTGTGCACAAAATTTTATTAACCGTTATTAATTAAAATAATTAGCCAATCAAAATAAGCCAACCAAACAATTTCATCACGTGATAAGGTGAGTAATAATATTACTCACCCAGGTGAAGAATAACTTTACCTATACATTAATATTTGTAAAATATCTTAAAATTTTTAACTTCAAAGTACTGATAAATGTTATTATTACCATAAGAAAATCAACTCTTTTTAAAATTAATATGTTGTTACATTTAATTTTAGGGCTACTGGGTTCACAGATAGCGAATAAATAAATCTAGTACTCTGGAAGAAGCTTACTGCCTTTGTATAATTTAAAAATAAAAGAAGTTATTTTTGTTAGAATGCTTTGGTTTTTAATATATTTCTTATGTTTTTGCACTTTTTTTCTATTTAGCAATCTTTTTAGAAAATGCACTGCTATCCTCATATTTTAACTTCTACTCATCGAAGTTAAAAAATATAGTATTTCAAATATTTGCTACTAAATTATTTCATTTTATTTTAGCATTTGTTTTTAATCTTAAAAATCAAATAATTTCAGATTATTGTTATTATTATTATTATTAATAATTTCATGTACTTCTGGTAATAATTTTGATTTGAATTAAAGAACTCACGTATTTCTTCTAAGATTTTTATATAATGACTGGTATATTCATCAAGGTTCTCTAAAGCTTTATGATACTCTGTATCTAAGAGAAATAAGATTATTAGAATAAGTTTTTTGGATATCTTTTTATATACACACTATAAAGACAATCAGTTATTTTAAATATTTTAAGATTAAATAAAGTTGCTAAGTATATTAAAATAACTTATGTTCTAAAATTCATCTGAAAGTTTATCAACCATTACAGGTCTTTATATCATTTGAGGACCCCGGACATTATATATACAACTCAGTGGTGACTTTTTTGTGGATTGACCTAAATTTCACAAAAAAAAATCAGTTTTTTGTGATTATCTCGGCATCTGATGGTCCAATTTGTACAAACTTTTTTTGTTTTGTAGCTCTCATCGAGCTCTACAAAATAAAAAAATCTGCATGAATCAGATCACTGGATACTGCTGAGATAATCACAAAAAACGGAAAATAAAAAAAGAGCAAATTGGGTTTTTTTTTTGGCAAAAAGTCAGTTGTGACTTGTGAGTTTTATAAGAAATGTCTGGAGTTCTATCATTTGAGAATCTAATCATTGTTACTTACTAATACGTCAGCACAATCGATATAGTGAAGTGATTTTTTGTCTAATACTTTTATACTAATATAATTGAATTTTTTGATTATAAGGTAATGTTCATCATGTTTTTCTTTAAAATTACTATATTTATCATTAATTTGCATAGGTGTAATAGATATGAAAGTTCTAATAAATGTAGAAATTCTAATAGGTATGAAAGTTCTTCAGTTTGAATCATCACTGAGTTTAGTTAAAGATTTTTCAAGATTTCTTGTTGAATTATTACCAATAATGGGCATTAATGATCTATCCTGATTTTTTTTGGTTTGCCATTTTGATACTTTTTGTAGAATTATTAAATGTTGAAGATTTAAGAATTTTGTTTAAAATAATTAATACAAATAATTCAGTATGAATTTTGATATGAAGTATTGAAGTTAAAATATTATCATCATCAAGGCCAGTATGAGTTTTAGTATGAGATGTTGAAGCTAAAGCATTATCATCAATATTTTCTGTATTTTGTCATCAGCTATTGGAGTCAATTGATTAAGTGAAGATTAATTATAATATTAAATTAATGTAAAAAATACGATTTCTTGACAGATTGTATCTAATAAAATTTGAATTAATATATTTCCAGTTTTTTGAGAAGCTTCATTTTTTTAGGACTATTATGAAAGACTTTTGTTTTTTTTTTGTATTTTTTCCAGTTTTTTTCTTAGTATTTTTTGTTGACATTATTAACTAATTTAGAAATTGTAAAAGGAAAATATACTTGAAATTTACAAAATAAAATTTAAATTGAAATTGATAAAAAAATCTAAAATCTATAAATTAAATAATTTGATTATCGTAAAAATAATTAATTAAAATGATTAAAAATTAAAAAATAGAAATACAGTCAGCACTCGCTATAGTCATCACCACCATAGTCATATTCTTGTATATAATCACCTTAGTTGGATATCTTGAATTTTCATATATAAAATCTATCATCTATAGTCACATTTCACTTATAATTACTATTACTCTTATTCTAGAAAATCTAATAATTAAAACATATCATTTATAATTACAATCACATGAAAATATTAAAATTGATTTGTTACTTAAACAAAAAATACGTGAATGTGCACTTTTTTCTTAAACAAAAAAAGTTTAGTGTATTTCTATTTTTTATTAAACTAAAAAAGATTATCTAAAAATATTACTTTAAAAGTAATACTATATGC